TCACTGAATTTAAAGTGACCATCTTCTAGCGATTGGCGTCGCATAAAATTGTTGGACTCCCCACAATCGACTAGAGCTCGAAGGGACAACTTATTCGTCACTTCGAGTTTCAAGGTAATGAGTGAGACCTCATTACCTAGAGCAGCAACGCACAACGTTTGTGTGTTGGGAGCAACCTTCATCAAGAGGCCTACAAATTCTCTTGACGTTGCTAGACCAGTAGGGTGCTCCGCACCTACTGATCCTGTCCGTTTTTTGACGGTCCATCCCGTTGTTGCGTCTTTGCACCAACTGCGGACCCTCGTCCCTGCCTTTTTCTCATGGGTGGACGGTCACTACGCCCAGTGTCGCGAGACACTGGACGAGGGGCACTACACTCGTAAGCGTATTGTCCTGTCTTTTGACATCTGTTGCATCTCTGCAACTTCTTGTAGCCTGTAGAGCGAGCCTTCTCGCTCTCTACATAACAGAGTTCCATCAGCTCTGGACCTCCGTTGTCAAATCGTCGCGGTTGACGATATGATGTCGAGCTGGCGCGAGCCTGTCTCAGACTGAAGTCTTCCTGCTCCACAATGGAAATGGCTTGTTCTAGTGAATCTAGTTCAAGCCGGAACAGGTGAGTCTTTACGGGACCATCCGCAAGACCCTGCATGAACACCGAAACCAACGTGTGTTCTTCCACGGATTGGAACTTATACAACTCGTAAGATGTCGTATATGTTGGGCGTAAGCGTGCACATCACGCTTACCCTGTTTGAGCTTCAAGAGTTCGGTTCGAGCCCTGAACTCAGCTCTAGGCGGTTCAAACGTTTGTCTGAGCCGCGACTTGAAGACTTCCAACGACCCAAACGCATATGGGTCGTGCAACTTGAGCCCCAGTGCCCAAGTCTTGGCACGTCCTGCCAGATTTGACTGGGCAAATGCAACTTGCATATCCCCGTCGTCGATGCGACGCGCCCTTATGGCGTCATCCAATTCGACGAACCATCTCAAGAGGGAGTCTTCTTCGACCCCCCTATACTTTGAAATGTCAATCTTCAAAGTCTCGGGTCGACGCGAGTGCATCGACCCGCCAGCAGCAGCCTGCTGCTGTCTCAACAGTTCAAACTGTTGAGCACCTTGTTCTCTCAACAACTCTGCTTGTTGAGAACCTTGTTGGTGAAGCAAGGCTACTTTCTCGCGTTCTGCGTCAAGTTCATTTTGAATGAACTTGGCGATAGTATCATGTTGGGCATCTCTATTGAGAGCCTCTAGCATGACGCTAACAGCATGGATGCCCATGGTCGAACCCATTCGTTCAACCGCATCCCATTCGACATCGCTCAAATGGGAGTAGCCGTCACGCGTAGCGTGAAAGCTTTGGTCATCTTCATCATCCAACATATTCATGTTGGATGTGAACGCGGTCCTTGGACGGACTACGAAGTGCTACCAGGTGTAACGGGGCACCCTGAAGCTTGTACTGGTGACAGTACAAGCCACTTATTCTGATGACAGAATAAGGCGGTGCCTCGTAACTTCACGTACACTCGTACGTGCAGAGGAAGACGGTAAGAAGAAGCGAGTACTCGGTTAGAGTAAAAAGTAGAACTGTATTTATCATAGTTAATGTCTGCAATGAATCCCTATTTATCTTCATCTAACTATGTCTAAATACAAATGTGTAAATCAGTTATCTGCTCACCACTCATTGCGTGCGTCTGTCGTGGCGCGTCTTCGTTGGTTGATATAATGGCCTATATCAACCAATTAGGAACTACTCGTAAGTGCTACAAAATATTTGTCCTTATGACAATATTCTGAGAATATAACTCTTATAGTTATATTCTATTAACAATTTCTTATAAATTGTTATGTAACGATTCACCCCGTTACATTCGGCGTCTGCACAGAGACGTGCAGACGCGCTCTCAGCGGCCTTGCTCGCGCATCGCATGGGCTTGTTTACCATGCGATGAGATGTTGGAAAGTGGACTCGGACCAACAAGTGCAAACCCTGTCCCAAATGATTTGGGACGAGTATCCATTTAGTCAATCAGTCACTGATGGTTAAGGGGGGGGGTGATGTAACGGGGTGAATCGTTACATAACAATTTATAAGAAATTGTTAATAGAATATAACTATAAGAGTTATATTCTCAGAATATTGTCATAAGGACAAATATTCTGTAGCACTTACGAGTAGTTCCTAATTGGTTGATATAGGCCATTATATCAACCAACGAAGACGCGCCACGACAGACGCACGCAATGAGTGGTGAGCAGATAATCAATTTACACATTTGTATTTAGACATAGTTAGATGAAGATAAATAGGGATTTATTGCAGACATTAACTATGATAAATACAGTTCTACTTTTTACTTAAACCAAGTACTCGATTCTCCTTACCGTCTTCCTCTGCACGTACCAGTATAAGTAAAGTTACGCGGCTCCGCCTCATTCTGTCATCAGAATAAGTAGCTTGTACTGTTACCAGTACAATCTTGAGGGTGCCCCGTTACTCTATGGTCCCAGACGCCAATCGATACCCACAAGAGGAGCACTGTACATCTACAGAATTTGCTGTTCCTGTAGCAGCGTCCAGCAAATATTTCGCCTCGCTGGTATCAGCGCACGATCTGTACTGTTGCCAACGCAGGCCGAAACGTAATACAGTAAGTAAGTTCTTTGCGTCCAATATTATATACAGCTTTCTTTGTGTCAGGCACATCATCGTTCCGTGTCAAGTACCTGGTACTAGTAAGCGCATATTGCGCTTAAACTTAGCAATCTGCAGTTGCTTTACAACACCAGTTTCCGAAGCCTTTTCATCCTAGTGGAAGATCACCGACGAAAGCAAGATCAGCCGCCTGAAACACGATGTCAATAGAAATAGGAAAATCTGTAGGCGAACAAGGGCTTCACCAAGCAATTTAACGGTGACATATGTAGTACTGCTTTCATCACAACCACATAAACGAGCAGGCGCTTGTCGACGCATTCTATAGTTAACGACCTACTACATGCCGAAAAAACAACGTATCGTTGAATTTACACTCACCCTTTATAATCCATCGATACTCGAAATGGGTCTTACGGTACCGCGCGACTTATGGTATCTAGCAGCCACTCGCCAAATCTGTACGAGATCGTCAATAATAAGATGCGAATATCACTATCCAAGTCATATTTTAACTTGATAATGTGACACGGATGTACATAGCAGTAGCAACTGCAGCGGTATCAACTAGCACTTAAAAGCGTCAAGTGAACTACATATAAACACACGCTCAATATAGTAATTCACGACACCGTACTTACTTGTGTCGAAGCTCACTTCCCATCACCAACACAGCAGCTGCAAGCGCACATTCGCGTTGGAGCATATCTGCACAAATTTACACTCCCCACGGAGCATCAGCGCCACAATTCCGCCAAGTTTTGCCCACGCAGCGGCTCCCAAGCTGTGAGTGGCAGCCCTGTATTGCAAAACGATCACATCCAGCGACGTCAGAGCCGGCAACCTGCCTACCTTCTCTATTAGCAAAGAAGTACATAATCGGTACATAGGCAACGTTCATTACCTACAAGCTTCCAGCAGCGTAACATTCGTTGAATCTCTGGACTTATGTCGAATAACAAGTGCCGACACAAGCCAAAACATTGTACAGTAAGTTAGTTCGTAGTCTACAATAATCAAGCTCTCTAAATAGGGGAGTTCATCTTTATATTAGAGCTCACTAATTTGTCGCCATTATTTGTCGGATGAAAATTGTGTCGGAATCTGTATTGTATGGATTATTTGCATAAAATGATACAAAGTTGTAAAATTGCTAGATGTGAAACAATCGTGTGTAGAACACTGTGCTCTGATTGTATTTACGTAACCGAAAGCAGTACCTAATGGTAATGAGTACTTATATCATTTCGTATTTTAAAGCAAGCCGTAATTACCCACCCGATTTTTGCCACCCAGCCCACCAGGTTTCTGTTAAGCACCCACCAAATTTTCGTCAAACACCCACCATCTATTTTGAAAATAATAAATATTCGACAAGTTGTGATTTACTAAATTTGACATAAATTTTGCAGAAATAGCGTCACATTTCTCAATACTGGATGCCAATCACACTACAAGCATTGCATCTTCTCTCTCATCCAAATGCTACCCCCCCAACGATGCTTTTTGACGCAATATAACACGTATATGTACACCCATCACGTAAATCAGTCATTTTTAAATGGGTGCCTTACCTTGTTTTGATGCCGTCTACAGCATGCTGCAGCAAAAGTCGCCGGACGTTCAACAAAGATGCGGCAATAAAAGGCAATGTTTATGCGATCAAGCATATGAGGAAGGTGGCCAACATGAAAGACAGAGCTAGCATGGGTCTGTTCGTTTGGTGCTGCCAGGGTAATTAATCCAAGCCTGCAATATTGCTACCGATACCTCCTTGCGCTATTGGATGTAACGTGTGATACTAAGCGGAAACTTGATTGTAAAAGGTCTGTATTAGTGCCTCAAGTCACCCTCAGGTCAACACAAAGCACGATTTATCGCCGTTCAATCAAGCAAAGGCACTAAACAACTACAAATGTCACTTTTGTTGAAATCGAATTTAGCCAGCCATGAAGTCTGAGCGTGTCGTCAAATGGCACCTCCGGCACCTTCAGCAACCTCTCCTGTAGATGTAGACGATATAAACAGAATGACATATTGCCAATGTCGTTAAAAACAAGATCAGTAAGGTTTGCTATAATGACAAGAATATAAATGATGCATAAACCGATTGTTTGCCATGGTGCTATCACCATGACAAGCGAGTAAGATGCTGCCACCGCGTCGAGTATCCTTCTTTTACATGATGCAGTGCGGTCTGTTGTCACTCGTGCTTGCAGTTCTAGCGGGTTCGTACTCTAAGAAATTGCTGGCTCTGGCCGAAGGGTAGTGTCGTGGCTTCCATCGTGCAAACCAGAAGCGGTGGGTAGTAATAAATCTGCCTCTGTATTAGTTACAATCATACGTATTCTTCACCCGCACTTTTGCTGTCAGCTTTCACGATGCCACAGTAATGAGTGTGCAGTATCGACATTTCCAGATGCGAAAGTATTGCGACTTGAGTCGTGTATCCTTTTGATTGCGCCACCACACTGACCAACATGGGAATGACGATCCAACCGCTGAGAAGAAACACGCCGATGTCAGTGAGCTGGTTGATGCATCTTCGAGTTGACGAGCTGCACAAGTGACGTTATATTCACTCTCGTCAATTCACCATTATTCTGATAGTTGACGCAAAATATTCAATTAACATCTACCACCATTACCTGCACATCAACAACGTTGCGTGGTATCGCTCCGTGTGAGTCGTATCCATACGTGCTCGACGTCCACTAGATTCGTATTACACGAGCACGACGGCCAAGTGTGCGAATTCGTACAACCAGGGATGATCGACAGAATCTAATCGAAAAAATGCAATTGCGGAAGCCTCAAGTGTCTTGACACGAGTCTTCTTCGGGCTGACCGTTCTGGATCAGGGATTCCTATGCGGGCCACTTATCATATAAGGGCGCCACCCATGATAGTAGGCGCCCCACATAATAAACGCAGCCATCGAAAGGCCCAACGTGAAATGCAAGTAGTACGCCAACTCGAACCAGTTGACCGGTTTCTCCGCTCGGTACCTCTTCAAGGCTTTCACCTGTCCCGGCGTGAACTTGGTCGACGACATTCCACCGCGGTCGACAACTGCCCTCACGTGTGTCAAGGCGTCTTCTGCCCCGCGTGGGTCCATTTTGCTGGTTTTTGGGGCTCGACGCAAGAAAGCTGCCAGCCTGTCAAAGACGCCTCTTGGTTCCCGATGCATCTCCTTGTCGTTCCTTAAGACCGACCTTCCGTCGTCTCCAGTCGCAATCTCGAGGCCACGAATCGCCAAATTCTTTTCCCGGGGAGGTTGACCATCGGCCGAGACCTTGAGACCCGAAACGAGGTCGACACGGCACATCGAGATGGTGCCTAGAAGAAGGAAAACAGAAAAGGCGATTCGCATGGTACAAGTTGGAAGGTGATAGAGCACAGCAAACACCGAAGTGACACTGATCTGCTGACCGCGTAGATTCAGATTCTACGCGGGGATTTGCACGATTGGTTGGCAGAATACGTGCGGTGTGTCTTTACCAATTATTCTGTAAGAATTATGTCGATGCGAAAGCTCTTTTTTAGGTTCCCCGCCTTATTTTCTTCATCCTACGTAAATATCGTACATTGGCCACAAAAGCAGCTCTTTAGCCCTCTTTCAATGTCCTTTGTAGGGTCCACATCCACCCGATCAAAAAAGACTTTGTTTATAACATGTTATTTGATGTCGACAAGCTTAAAACCGGGAAAACATGGCGGAAAAAGCATTCTAGAGTATCAATTTGCTAAAATGGACTCGAAGATGTCGAGTACCAAGCGTACAGCCCGATACGTGCAGACGGAGAAGATCGAGCAGAACAACTACTGACAGTCGGACTCAAAGCCTTGTCGTCCAGCAGAAGAAACATAAGAGTAAAGACAACACTTGGTAAATGAAGGGGAAGAAAAAATGAACGTAATTATTGTACTCATGCATATAGGAGGATCACGTGCGCTGACAAGAGACACATCGCGTTTGGAACTAGCGGGACCCTCAGAAGTGGTAAAGGAAGGCGCAAAAGAAGACGGTAAGTATGGTACACGTAGTACATGGCGACTAGGGCCACTGGCGATTTTGGCGACGCGGATATACTGTTGGTTTTGTGTACTGAGCACAATATTTACGTAGGGCGGGGAAAATAAAGGCGGGAATGTAATAAGCTTCGTCGATACGCTGCCTGTTTAAATAATATGATCACTATTCTGACTAACAAAATTTGTGTGCTTTTAGCAAGCGATCATAGACTAAAAGAAGGTCACCATATTTTTAAGGCAATATTGCAGAGGGAGGGCAACTAGTAGTCAGGAAGCAAATGGGAAAGTATATTAGTTTTTAGCAAACTTGCATATGCATTCAGCTACTTATCGTTGAAGCACTACGATGGTCTCGCCTGTGTCGTTTCCCTGTCATACAACCGACTGCTGAGGTTTCACTTTTGTGTCCGCTTCAAAACGATTACAATCAAACGTCATCAAGACGTTTAAGCGTACACAAAGTGTACATCATCAACACTCCTCCTCGACTAGAAGTCTCCAACGTTTGTCTTTGCCACGAGAAAGTGGAACTTGCTGGTCAAAATCGCCTTCGTCAGAAAATCGGCGAGCTGTAACTTGGTTTCAATATTCTCAAGCTGAGTCACCTTGGCCTTGACTTGATCACGAACAAAACGATAGCGAATTTCAATTTGCTTCGCTCGACTTTGATATCCTTCATTTTTCGCAATAGCAATCGCACTTTGGCTGTCTTCATACACAATGACTGGAGCGTCAATCTTGATCTTCATCTCCATCAATAATCTCTTGGTCCACAATATCTCTTGAATACACAACGAAAGTGCCACATATTCAGCTTCAGCAGTGCTTAGTGATACACTGCTTTAAAGCTTCGACTTGAATATAACTGGAGAGTCATTGATTATCACCATAACTCCTGATGTGACCCGTCGATTATCGTTGTCACTCCCTCAATCTGCGTCGCTAAATGTCCTCAGCTTGAGGCAACCGGGCTTGCTACGATAGCAAATTGCGTGCATTGCAGTTGACTTTAGGTAGCGCAGCACACGAAAGGCTGCGTTCCAGTGTTCTTCACTTGATATTTTTCAAATGTTGACTCAGGCGACCCACTGCAAATGCAATATCGGGCCTTGTACCTATTGCCAAATATAGGAGCGATCCGACCACAGATCGATAGGGTCGGTTCTTCATCTTAGGATTCTTTTCTCGCACTTGAGCATGACTTGACCATCACACTTGGGTTGTGGACCGCTTTCGCCCCAACTTGATTGAATTTGACGATCATTCTGTTGATGCACGCAGCTTGACTGATCTTGAGTTTCTTTGTCTGGTGTGCATACTCCACTTCAATGCCGAGAATAAATCTCACATTTCCGAGCGTCTTTAACTTGAAATGACTAGAAAATTCATCCGCAACTTTGTCAATTAGCATATCAGAAGTACCTCCAATCATCATATCGTCGACATACAGTGTCACGTAAATCCACAAAAGGTGTCCATTGTGACGGACGAAAACACACGGGTCTGTAACACATGCCACAAAACCCATGTTCTTGAAAAAACTTAAAAACATCTTGAACCACGTCGCGGCAGCTAATCCATACAAACTTCTGTTTTGCTTCAAAACTTGACTTGGGTTCATGTCGACGCACTGAGGGCTAGAAATGAATAAATCTTCTTCCAATGCTCCATAAAAGAAGGCTGTGTCAACATCATATTGGTGTATTATCATGCCGAGATGACAACACACGGCAAGAAATACATGAACAGAGTTCATGGTTGCGACCGTTGAATGTGTCTCGTAGTAATCCACACCAAGCGTTTGTCGATACCCTAAAGCAACAAGCCGTGCCTTATTTCGATCAACTTATTTAAGTTCATTCCGCTTAATGGCAAAAACCCACTTGGTTCCGATCACCTTTGTGTTTGGCTATTTCTCCACTGCTGTACAAGTCTTCTTTTTGTATAGTGCCATCAATTCGGTGTCGATTGCCTCGCTCCACATCTTAGACTGCGAAGATTTCATTAAGGCTTAGTATGTCGACGGGATTTCGAGTGTTGCATTCGCTTGTTCATATTCAATGCGATATCTTGTTGACGCTCGAATGTCTGAATCATCACTGCGCCTGGTAGCAGGTGTTTTGGACATCTCAACTGGAACTAAAGCTTGATCTTCACAGCTCGATGATGGTAGCACAAAAAGGGACGTGTTGTCCATTATATTGAGATGATTGTACCACAGCGTTCACATTGGGATTCATCAATCTCCCCCTGGGCACAATGTCCCGAGTTGTATTGGCATCCAGATCAGTCGGCTCCATGTAAACATCATCGATATCGAAAGCAGGATCAGGGATGTGTTGAAATTCCTGTCGTAGATTCAAAGAATTAAATTCACTTGGTTGTAATACGACTTGGTCAGTCCCAGTTTGGTCTACAACCAGCGCTTCCACTTCACTATGGGTTGATGTAGATTGTAATTGCAGAACTTCAGCATCATCATCATTGTCGAAATTTGCACGTGTTGTAGCAGGTATATTCGCAATCACTTGCACATACTTGGATTTTAGTAACTTTTGTAAAGTCACTGATCGCGTGAGCTCCAGTCTATTTGAATCAAAATTCCAGACACGGTATCCCTTCACTTCATGCGAGTAGCCCAGAAACATGCACTGAAGTGCCTTCTTGTCCAACTCTAGACGTTTTAATTTTGCAATGTAGGCGTAACCTTTCGCACCAAATACTATCATGTGGTACAGGTCTGGCTTAGTCCCAAAACATACTTCTACTGGAGACTTGGTCGGGTTCGAAGCTCAAGTGAATCGGTTAGTCACGAATACCGCAGTAATAATCGCCTCAGCCCACCACTTCTTCTCGACTTGCATGTAATTAAAAAACGATCTTGCTCGCTCATTCAGTGTAAGATTGAGTCGTTCAGCTATTCCATTTTGCTGCGGCGAATACGGCACTGTCGCTTGGTGCACAATACCAGCCTTTCGACAATTCTCTGTGAACCGATTGTTGATGTACTCACCACCATTGTCGGTGCGAATACACTTAATCTTATTATTCAACTGGTTTTCCATCATCGACTTGTATTTGATGAACTTGTCGACCACGTTTGACTTGTGTGGAATGTAGTAAGCAACCACATATCCTGAACAATCATCCAGAAATGTCACTACGAATCTTGCTCCTCCTTGCGACTTTGTCTTTATTGGTCCCAATACGTCGCCATGGATAACTTGGATCAATGAAGTGGTCTTTACTTCGCCGTAAGTAGACTTCGGGAACGGCTTGACCGACAACCTTTCGGTCACACATACTTCGCTTATTTCGTCTTGATCAACATCCATAACAGACGAATCTTCCATCGTAAGCCCTTCAACACACTTGCCGAGGTTTTTTATTGCCTTCATTGGCAGAAGTCCTAGTCTTGTATGCAACATACTTGGACCCACAGGCTTGGCTCCACCGCCAACTTCTTTACTCACGCTTGCAGATTCTATTGTATCATATTCAATCACGAACAACTTGCCCATTTGGGTCACTTGAGTCACCAACTTTTGATCATTCCTGATCTCACATGTCTTATTGCGAAAGGTTGCGTGTAACCCTTTAGCAGACAATGCAGGAATAGAAAGAAGACGAAGATCCGGATCAGGAACGTACGAAAGGTCTTCATTGCGAATTAACTTCTTTTTTTTCAGTAGGACACGAATTTTCCCAACACCATCAGCCATAATCGTTTGTCCAATCGCAATCGAAACTCCAACCGACTCATTTAGTGGTCGGATCTCCGCAAAGTCATCTTGAAATGGACACATATGACTACTCGCTCCACTGTCGAGTAGCCAACCATCAGAGCATTGTTCACCCACAGTGAACGCTTGCTCAGAGCTCTTCTTCTTGTCTGAATTCTTCCAGCAATCTTGTTTCTTGTGCCCATGCTTGCCGCATATAAAACACGTCCCAGTGAACTTGTTCCTTGATTCCTTTGACTGAAAACTCTTGCTCTTGAACCTTCTTGTAGCCTTCAACGCGATCTCGCTCTTCTCCATCCGAGCAATGCCTTCGTATTCACGACGAAGCATTTCCTTGGCTTGAAATAGATCCATGCCCTTCATGTTCTCGATGATCTTGACTATCTGGTCGTATTCTTCAGATAGGCTTTCTGGTAGAATCACGATTCGCTCATCCTGAACAATTTCGTCACCGATAGCTTGCATTGACATGCAAATCTCATCGAACTTGAGAAAGTAATACATTACACTGTCTCCCTTCTGCATCTTGATCTCGTGCAGCTGTCGACGCATCTTCACCCGATTATTAATGCTTCTGCAAAGATAAAAAAAACTCTTTAGAACCCCCACGCTTCTGCAGTCGTCGCTGCATCCCGAACCATGGACTGAAGGCTTGGGCTGATCATCGTGCAAACGTTTGCAAAAGCCTGTATGTCGTTGACTTTATAAAATGACGCATTAGCGTCATATCCTCTCGGTGCCTTCGTCGCGTCAATGTGATTCAGCAGCCCTTTCTTGGCAAGCTTCATCCGCGCATTAAATTCCCATGCGAAGTAGTTACCGTCGTTGCGAACATATTTCGCTCCCACAGTGTTTGGGCTCATAACCTTTTGAGGCAATATTGCAGAGGGAGGGCAACTAGTAGTCAGGAAGCAAATGGGAAAGTATATTAGTTTTTAGCAAACTTGCATATGCATTCAGCTACTTATCGTTGAAGCACTACGATGGTCTCGCCTGTGTCGTTTCCCTGTCATACAACCGACTGCTGAGGTTTCACTTTTGTGTCCGCTTCAAAACGATCACAATCAAACGTCATCAAGACCTTTAAGCGCAAACAAAGTGTGGGTATCGGACTGATAGGATAGGGCAATCTAATCTGACACCTTTCCGACATTTTTGCCAGTTTGAAGATGTAAAATATGTCTGACCTCCATACAAACGCCAAGTCCAAGGCACATTCGTTGCATCTAGTAAAAGATTTCCAAAAAATAGGGCACCTCTCTTTTTTATTAAGTAAGTAGCTGTAATATTTATACAGTAGCGATGAAAAACTGCAAAGTTAATCCATGATTATGTAAATATTGAGCTTTAGTTTCATCTTGTTTGTCCAGCATGCAAAGGCCAAGTCATAGCTGCAGCAAACTGAATTTTAATAAAGTAAACACGCTTGTATACTTCAATAGCAATGCAGCACAGGAACATGAGCATTCAGTCGTTGTTGCCAGCCAACTCCGAGTTGGCCATGTCCGCAGCTGTAAATAATTAGATCAATTGTCGCACCGGGTCCGTCACGGTTTTAAGGCTACATATGTCTATTTCAGTGACCCGTCTGGTGTGTGCTTCGTCGCAGTAATGAAGAAATTCTTCATACTCGTCGCCTATACCGAGGGAAGCAATGGCGAAATTTCGGTAAAGAATATTTTTTTTCCAATTGCAGATAACCAAAGAAGTGGCTGCTCGTGTTCTTTGCTTTGCAAAGCCCACATGTTAAAGACAGGCTTCTCGAGGTGGCGCACATTCTAGAGAGACACTGCGTTACGTGAGTAAAGGGAGGACTAGCAAAGAAGGCTGCGTTGTGCACGAAATATAAATTTGCTTTTTCTTAAAAACAACTTCTTCATGACTGCCACAAGTTCGACGGAATACCAAGACGCTGCACTTGTGTGCCTAACGTGGCACGTCTTGGGCCGGGCTTCTGACCTTTGCTGGTCCTAAAACAAGGTATATCCACTAGCGCTAACAACGTATTATACGTTTGGCTAATCTGCGTCAAGACTTCTAAAGAATAAGGTATTTTATTTTCCCCGACAAAAAGACATTTTTGGCATATACACTTCAAGCCATCGCTGTGGACCTACTTATGCAGTCCGCCTAATGCTTCTCACTGCTACCAAAACTCACCACCAAAATTTATGTTATAAATACTTCAAGTACCGTATCAATTTCCATAAGGTAAAGCTTTTTAAAGGTGGTTGCCATATGAAGCGGGAATTTTTCAAAAGAGACGACTCCTGGACCGGCAAACACTCGTGCTCCAAGGATTTATATCTACGTTAACATCATTCTAATTAATTTGGCAAGAAGGGCAGGTATAGGAAGTGAGCTGTCGTCAACCTCGTTTAGGCGTGGGGAGGCCCAACATGCGATTAGCTATCCGCACTTTAGCGCTCAATGGATTTCCAACCGAGGCGCTTGGAATACAAAAGCTACGAAAAAGTATTTTTTTACGTTTTAACTTAACTAATAAAGACCAGAAGATCGCGCGGGTTTAAGTGGATAGGGTGCGAATGAGAATGTAATTGTATCCGACCTATCTGTCTTTGACACAAACTCTCGATCAAAAATTTCAAAGGTTCAGGCGCTCATGCTCAGAACATGCAGCAACCTCAATGATAGCAAATATGACGTTGACCGACGCGTCCTTGACTACTTTTCAGCACACTTAATCCGCCATTACCAACAACTTAAATTGCTGAATGCAAGTGCCCCAAAAGTCAAGCACCTGAAGGTATGCGTGATCACCGCGGAGTGTCAATAAGCAGATGTAATTATCCGGACCCTGAAACGAAAGGAAGTGGAGCACGTGGAAGAAATGAATATGAGCAATTTGAGCAACGACTTTGGCTTGAAGCAGCACAAATTAATTCTAGTACCTATAACGCTCCAAGTGATAAATCGGCACTGGAAGGACCAAATCATATAATTTGGATCGAATCGAATAGGCCGAAAGAAGAAGATGTAGACTTGTTTTCTGCACTTCGTTCATGTGAGTGTCCTATAGATGTAAGTGGAAATTTATACGTCAAAAACAAAGAAGAATCAAAGCAGCGACTAGCCTCTCGACGGTGTGTTATGATTGGTACACTTGCAAGCCGCGCATATGGATGTTGTAACGGGGCACCCTGAAGCTTGTACTGGTGACAGTACAAGCTACTTATTCTGATAACAGAATAAGGCGGTGCCTCGTAACTTCACGTACACTCGTACGTGCAGAGGAAGACGGTAAGAAGAAGCGAGTACTCGGTTAGAGTAAAAAGTAGAACTGTATTTATAATAGTTAATGTCTGCAATAAATCACTATTTATCTTCATCTAACTATGTCTAAATACAAATGTGTAAATCAGTTATCTGCTCACCACTCATTGCGTGCGTCTGTCGTGGCGCGTCTTCGTTGGTTGATATAATGGCCTATATCAACCAATTAGGAACTACTTGGAAGTGCTACAGAATATTGTCCTTATGACAATATTCTGAGAATATAACTCTTATAGTTATATTCTATTAACAATTTCTTATAAATTGTTATGTAACGATTCACCCCGTTACATCACCCCCCTTAACCATCAGTCACTTTAGTGACTGATTGACTAAATGGATACTCGTCCCAAATCATTTGGGACGGGGTTTGCACTTGTTGGTCCGCGTCCACTTTCCAACATCTCATCGCATGGTAAACAAGCCCATGCGATGCGCGAGCAAGGCCGCCGAGAGCGCGTCTGCACGTCTCTGTGCGGACGCCGAAGCAGAAACTACAGCAACTGATGTCCCATCGGTTGCTGAATCGACTCAGCCTGTATCACCTGGTGATGCAGGCGCTGGTCATGAAGACACTCGTGTCTTCACAGAGTACGAGCTCGGTGTCTCGTACTCTCCTGATACGGATGACGGATCCGTATCGACGGCAATTGAATCCAAGCCGCCTGCCAAGCGTGGCATGGACGATGCTTTGCGTCGCAGCATCTTTGGTTCATCTGATGAGTCAGATGAACCATCGCCGAAGCGAAGGCGCTCGAGGTCGCGAGACTCGGGCGCTAATAGTGGTGTCGTTTCTCCAATGGACACCACTTCACAGCGAGGTGCCAGTACTTCTGTCGGCACGTCGCAGGAAGAGCGGGACCGCAATGTGTTGCGTCTCGCTCCAGAAAAGAAGGCATGGATGCCTCCTAAATCTGTCATGGATCACTTGTCGGCGACGACGAGTGATCGTTATCGAACACGATTGTTCGATTCGTCAAGGATTCATCACCTTGACCCCAGCGCGAAAGACTATCGCGCTGAACATGAGTTCTTCATCGATGCTTTCTTCAGACATCGATGGTACAGTGGGAATCACAAACGTGATGGTCCCTCACTACTTCAGGCGTGGAACGCCTACATCCATAATCTCGAGGATGTAGGTCGTGACGCTTGGAACGACAAACTTATCAAAGCTCGTGATAAGTTTGAAAAGCGAACCCCGACAGGTGCACGCTATAAGCTGCATCGTCTGTCAAGGGAGAAAGGATTACCCTGCCTCTCTTGGGGAGACTCGTGCCCATGTTGTGTGAACAACTCTGCACGAGCACCTAAGGAGGCTTACCTCCTTACCAGCCCGTGGTGGCGCGTACGTGTCTCTACTGAGATGTACGAAGGGATTGACAACCTGAAATCCCTTTACTACCGTGCCGGGAAGACTTTCTCCGGCGGTCCTTCTGCGGCACAGGATGTGTCGCGTCGTACTGCTCGACCAGACCCAGTACGTCAACCATCAATTGGGAGCGGGGCTCCCAAGAGTCCCAGGACGGGGGATAGCCGCGCCACCGGACGAGGTAACTCGTCCGACGTCCGTTCACGTCGCGGTGGTTCAACAGCTGCTCAACTAGATAGCGCTGGCCACCGCGAGAGTCCTCTAATGGAGGTGGAGGAGGAGGAAAGACGCTCTCCACACGATCATGTGGATCGGTGTGTTCCCGAGAGCTTCTTTGATCGCGTAACGCAAGGGTTACGCGACGATCTCGAGCATGAGCGGAATAGGCGTCTCCAGATGGTGGACACTGCCTCGAAGCATCGAGCTGAGTTTGCCTTTGCTCAGCTTGAGAACGAGAGATCTCTGACATCTCTTCGTGACGAGCTAAGGGTAGCTCGTGGGATTGTTGATCGGTCTCGGGCTGAGATAACTGCTCTTCAGACCCTTGTTGATGCCCACCATCGGGAGCACAAGGCTCTCTGCGAGATGCTTGAGCGCAAGGGCGTTCTTCATCGGAAGAAGCAGCGTACTGATGGTACGGCTTAAGCCGACCAACGTAAAACGTGGGATGTGTTCGCATCTTACGTGGTAACTCGATCGTGTATGCATTGCCTAGGCGGTGCAATACACGAAATGGGCCAATGTACTTGGGTAGTAGTTTACTGCTACCCAAGTTAGTCACTACATGCTTTGGTAGATTAACCGTAGACAGTAGGACTAAGTCACCTTTATTAAATAAAAGAGTGTTTGCCCTTCCATTCTTGTCAGCGTTTTGCTTTTGCTTATCCACCGCTTCGGCGATGGAGTCTTGCACAAAACGGACTACCGTTTCACGAGCCAGTATGAACTCATCTGATGACTCGTTAGCTTCAGTGTGCTGTGAGCGCACTGCAGCGACAACAACCTTTTCTTCAGTGAGGGCTTCCGCACTCTCACTGGGATCATTGTCTTCAGTGAGGGCTTCCGCACTCTCACTGGCATCATCTTCTTCGATATCGATGTTATCGATATCGGCATCAAACGCAATGACTTCTTCGTCAGAGCGTGATGAGCGTGAACCAAATCGTTTTTTGCTCGCGCGAGTCCCTCCCCCCCTTA